ATAACACTCAAATCCCTCTTCGAGACTCCGTGTTCCTGTAGTCGCATACTTTCTGTAAGATAGCTGTACGCTTGTGCTACGACAAAGACGCCACAGCTGGCGGCATCAGGTTGTTGTGGCGTCTTGTTCCACTCCACTGGGCTTATTGTAATCTGGTATCCACTGGCAGAAGCACAATTCCAGCGTTTTACAAAGTCAATAAGACCTTCCTTCCCCTCACTCTCTTCCACATTATCCTTTCCCTTGTGTTTCATAATTCCTTCCCACACCGCAATCATTTGTTCTCGATATTCTTCATCGATGAGCGGTTCGTACATGAACACTTTTACCTGTAGCATTTTAGTCGCGACATCGCAATACAGACGCGCCGTTATGAGACCCCAGTGATTTGCACTAAAGTTCATTGGATGAGCGATGAACTTTGTGTCGAGTATTTGTGTCTTCGGTGTTGTTGGCCAGCCCACCACTCCCAACAAGGTTGAAAGCATGAGCGACTGTTTAATTGATCCCACAATTGCCTTCAGACAGAAATCCACAGCGCTATCGTTCAACCAGCCTCGACATAGAGCACCAGTTATGTTGTCAAATCCGAGCCACAGCGTATTTGAAAGAGTCAGAAATGTAGTACGCAGTGGGCTGGATGCAAATTTTGAAATAACGTCATTGGCAAGCTCTTGGTGCCGGATACGGATAGCATCCGGTGCTAGTCCAGCAGTTTTCGTTGCGACATCAAAAAGCTCCACCATAGAATCGATTTTTCTCCAGTCCTACTCAAGCCACTTTCTGTCTTCAATCCACGATCTGCATTTAGCCTTCATATCGTAGAGCGCGGTTCAGGCACAGGTATAATCTCTGGAAATACACAAGACAGTGTTCTGTTACACAATCGCGTGAATCCGTTAGGTTTGGTAAAGCAACCGTATAAAGCAACCCTTTTAATGCAACCATCACTATATAGCAACCTTACCCGCTGAATTTCCATAGTTCATGGTGATGACGTCGTTCTTGAGACCTTGCTTCTTCATGTTCTTGTCAAGTTGGCCGGGGCACATCTGATCGACCTAGGTTGCTACAGCCATGGCCTGCATTGTTCTAGCTAATTCAACAGGAATGACAAATGTGTGCATGTAGTCTGAGGGTCGCACCACTTTCCAGTGGCACTCCATCGACCGAGCTCGAAGGTAAGGGTCTTCCAGCTGAACAGGATATTTCTCCAACATCTCGAGAACATCCTTCAGATTAGGGGCGTTCTTTGCCCAAGTTAACAGCTCCTTCAATAATACTGTTAAATGACTTGGGTACTTGCGAACCGCTAGACGGTCTGCCCCTCGTGAAAGTTTCAACTGCTTGAGCTGCGTTCTTGGCTTGCCTTTGCGTTTTGGTTTGGGTACATTAACACCTTGTCTCCTAACGTCGTAAGTTATGACATGCTATTTTTGCTATGTCGTAAGTTACGACATTAAGCGAGTTGCACTTGATTAAAGTATGAGCACAATTTTCCCTTACTTTAATCAAGTGTTTTTCAGACAATCCCAGCATATAAGCTGCGAGAGGTCTCTGCGACAAGTTCACAAAACCGGGTCGGAGGATGGGTTCGGATGGGTGAATCACCCGGTGATGGATGCCAGCCTGGTCCAGACCGCTCATTCAAGAATTTGCGGACTGGCGAGCATGCGGTCCAGTCGCCGAGAGAAACCCGCCGCCCCCGTCGCGGCACCACACGACATTGACTTCGGACATCTATGGCGGCAGCTCAGGGCGGCGGGGTGGACGTCGAAGCGGCCGACCGGCATTCAGACGGAGTGGACATACAAAAGCCCGGAGGGCGAGAACGTGCTGGTGGGTGAGTGTGCCGTAGTGGAGTACGCCTTCGAGTCGGGATTGCTGGTGGACGACGAGGAGCAAGTTGGAGAGGATGGCAGTGGCGGAGAGCATGTTGGAGAGAAATGTGGTGGCGGTGAACACGGCGAGGAGCATGTTGGAGAGGATGGCGGTGGCGGAGAGCATGTTGGAGAGGAGGGTGGTGGCGGTGAACACGGGGAGGAGCATGTTGGAGAGGATAGCGGTGGCGGAGAGCATGTTGGAGAGGAGGGTGGTGGCGGTGGCG